TGTTAATCCCTTTTAAGGCTCCTCTTCAAATCCCATCTTTCAATCAATGTGGGATTAATTTCACATACACAAGTGAAAATTCATTTGCCAAATAATATATTTTCCAACACATGTTTGAGTCCCATTAAAAAGTTAAGAATACATTTTGAAATAATAGATTGATAATGAATGTTTGGTTAAAAAATGAGGAAAAATTTTGAGTTTGTGTGTAATATTATTTTATTGAAGAATTTGTGGTTGAAAAGAAGAGAAAAAAATTGTATTTTGAAAAAAATAGGAATCAAACAAGGATTTAGAGAGAGATGGATAGAGAAAAGAGAGAATATAAAAGATGGATAGTGTTTAATATAATATTATTATTAATATTAAAAAGTGAATTATGTTATGATTTTTGTATAAGCAAACTTTAAACTTAATTTTTGTAAATGTGTGATACACGTTGTGGAGAAAAGAATGTATTTTTTGAAGTGATGTGATGGAAAATATGTGGTTAAAAAATAAAGAAAACTTTTGGATTTGCGTATAATATTATTTTATTGATGAATGTGTGGTTAAAAATGAGTAGATAAAGAATGCATTTTTAAAAAATGTGGATAAAACAGGGGTTCAATCTTTTAAAACCTGCCTCCCAGTAATTTCCTCGAAAAATCACCTAGATTGAAACCCAACCGTTGTGACCAGTGGATAGCTACGAGAAGTTTGAAATAAAATAAAGGTTTTGTAAAATGGCTTCTTTCAAACCTTTCAATTGAATAATTTAATCTACCGACTATCACCATCAATCTTGGTCGTACTATGCAACCTTATTCGCAGTTCAATGCATCACAAAACCCCATGGCACAGGGTACATTCCTCCTCTGTCTGTGCCAGAGAAATGCAATTCCACTATTCTTGAAATTAGGGTGTTGCTATTTTACCTTTTCTCTGTCTTTTCTTGTGACCTTGGGAACAAACTCTTGGAATCAATTTTGAACTGCACAAGCAAATCCCAACCCCACCCCACCCCACCCCACACCACACCACATATGTATATTGCACTCTTTGTTCAAGTTGATATTTGATGTTTGAAAATAAGCAAGTTAGTCTCTAACATTTTATTATAGTGCATGACTATTCTCCAATGAAGAAGATGTNAAAATAAGCAAGTTAGTCTCTAACATTTTATTATAGTGCAAGACTATTCTCCAATGAAGAAGATGTCAAAATTTATGTTAAATTGTCTTGGGAATCTTCCATGTCCAATTTTATGAAACTAGATTTGCTTCTTAACTTAGATAAAATCAGCGTCTAAAAATTTGAAGTCGTCACGTTTTTACGATGACCATCTTTTATATACTTAAAGTAAGTCTTGTTTCTACGAGGACCATCTTACAATACTAAGAGGATTTGCATAATTTTCTTGATACTCGTAATAAGTTGGGGATCAGTTTTGCAAATATATAGAGAGATAAAGAGAGTAGGTGTGGGGTTGCTTTCTAAATGGACCCCACATGCCACTAAAAAAATAGAGAAAGAAACCCCACAACTTCTAATTTTAATAATCTGACCCTACCCACTTTCTCCATAAGAGTATAAAATATAAGCAAACATAATGTGTTACTAAAGCCCCACATAATGATTGTGAAATATATTAAAAAATACTTTAAATTATAAATATTTATTATATAAATCCCACAAATAATAATGCACAAAATAATACAGGGTAATTGGCAAATTCTTAATTTACAATTTACAGATAGGCTTATTAGATTTCAGAATTATTTTTGGCTAATTAAAAATGAAAAAAAGTTACTTATTCGAAGAACATACATGAAAAGAGTAACATAAATCCTTTTTAATATTATTTTAATTAATTAGACTAAGAAATAAATAAAATAACGTATAATTTGAAAATTTTCTATTTGAGTAACTTTGTATATTAGCATGATAAATTAATATGAGACTAACTCGGAGCTCAATTTGTGTAAAACATCGTTACATGATTAAGTTAGAAGTAAATTACATTTTTAAAATGAAAAGTTTCGATTTGTACAACTAAAACCCAACTATTAATAATGTGCAAATTAATGATTGACTCGAGTTTAACTTTGACACAAATCTAAGTGGTAAGACGAAGACTGCAAATCCTTTTTCTCGCAGTTCAAATTCTAATGTTGTCCGATCAACGTAGAGATTTGTATAATCATATAGAATCAAATTCGAAAATTTCAAAACTGGACTAAAAGAACCCGTTTTAAACACCGTCTTGACCAAAAAGCTAAAAGTAATTACATATATGTCAAGTAATTATCTAATTTTGTTAATTGAAAGAATAAGCCAAAAAAACAGTGATAGGTACAAGCCCGAGAAAGTCCATATTCTTGGCTTGGGACCTCAAATTTTACAATCTCCAATAACGTATAAAAGTTTCTTTGTACAGCTACCATTCCCACTTGTCTGGCCAATGTACAATACTACAAAACACACAAAAATTAATTAACCAAAAACAAATTAAAATGCAAAGAAAATGGCTTTCACGAGCTTCCCACAACCTATGGAAATTCAAAAAGATTCATTAAATGTGTTACATGTGACATAATAACCTTATACATTGTGGCATTATCATGAGGTAACTATCTAGGACAGATGAGCTACAAATAAGGTATTTAGAATATCATATTTAAATAAATATAATCAAGTGCGTGTTTCAAAAGCTTTTCACGACCTATGAAAGTTGAACAAATAGCTAATCGAAAGTAACAATGTAAATTGCACCAACAAAGATAGGGTCTCACCAGCGTCCTATAACTTTCTGAAGTGTGTCAAGAAATTTATGTGAAAAAGTGTGCCAAGATTTATTAATGTATTACATTGAGAAATGAAGGGATACAACCCCGAGCACACGCGTGCGCGCATATATATATATAAATGATCTAATGAGTATCGGTGCTCAT